TGTCCCCAGGTGATTTTTCATTAACTGGTCATAAAGGGGGCTCTGTGTGCAGCAACTACACTTAGCCTCAGATCGTCCCCACCACGGACAGTTTGAAGGTGCTATTCCCCTATAAACAAAACCACACGCAGGTGTAAGCGAGGAAAACAGGGTGACGATATTGTAAATGAAAGTTGTTTTTTTCTGCTATTTTGAGAATAATGTTTTGATTTTGTGTTTGTGTTTTTCCCCTAGCCCAATTTGGAATGTACAAAATCCTCTGCGCTGCAGTCCTCATCTCTGTTAATGCTGTTTGCCTGAGGAGAGATGCAGACGGGCATGTGCTACCTCTGAGACATGTGCCACCAGCTGCTTCTTTTCACCTCGACTTCAACAGCCTCCCACCTGCAAACATGACCAATTATGTTTGCGTGAACACACAACCAAGCTGGAGGTACTGCGACTGGGAACTGAACCAAGTTAAAGCCGTTGTTAAATATTTAATCAGCTCGTGTCTCCAGCATGTAATGAAAGCCTCCTGCTGATCATTTCAACTTGCAGACATCCAATCCTGATCAAAAACTATTAGCACATGACAATGTCAAAATCTGAACATTATGCAGATTCTGTGTAGCATGCTGTCAAGTTTTCTACTGCATTGGAATTTAGCAAACTAAGGATTCTAAGTGAGTCAGATCATCCATCAGCACAATATACTGCAGCTTGACAGAAAACTCAACTGAGCCATTGTCATGAAAAATGGCAAACGCTGCAGACAGATATATGAGGTAGAGACTAATAAAGAGGTGATCAGCACCACAATTCTTGATGGATCGCTCGCAGTTTTCTAATTAGTCCCAACACGCTCACTTGAGCTCATTCGTGATATGCAATAAAATCTGACAGATCTGCATTATCTGAATGCATAAACAATGTAAAAATGTATAAATATATACAGCGTGCTTACTGCATTTTTCCCAAACTGCCATAAAAAATACAATGAGAATAAAAGCTTTAACAAATGCCCTGTTTTGCCTGATGGCATTTTAGTTGCAGGCACACAGTACAACTCATGAGGCCAGCAAAAATAATGTTTTGTACTACGCAGATAGTTTTATGACATTATTTTTCTGCTGTGCAGCTCATAGCACCATGAAACACAATTAAGTTAAAATCTTTTGCCCAAATGACAATGATCTCTGATCTCGATACATGGCAGAGCAAGAGAATTTTTCCACTGGAGATTGCCGATGTGTAACATTAGTATGCTACGTCGCAAATGGAGACGCATTTGATAATATTTTTATTTCTCGCGCATGTCAATTTCTGTCAAGTTGTCAAGTTGAGCTACTTATTCAATATCGCGGTTCCTAAGCCCTGCTCCTTTGTCCCCAGAGTCCTGCTGGTTTAATGTCCTAACAGGTAGTTAATGGCATTCAGCTGGTGTCCACGGTGTAAATCCCTCTCTGAACATACAGCAAGAACAAAACCCATTAAGGTTATGTGTCACGACCAGTGACTGTAAAGCATTTTTGGTTTCTGCAGAGGGGATGGAAAACCACTGAGACTTCAACGTCATCTAACTTGGGAAATATCATTATCATTATTTTTTAATATTTAAGTTCAAAGGGACTTAAACTTTCTGAGTTTCCTATAGTTTTAACTATTGATATAGTATAGTAACCATATAGGATATAATAAATAAACATCACAATAATGCAGCACATTAAAACTGACAACAAAAAGTAGGAATTTCATTTGTCACCTATATACACACACAAACATAGAAAATGAATATGTATATAGGCAGAAAGCTTTTAATCAGCTTCTTTGATGTACATACAGTAAGTGCACAGCCAGGATTTCGAATATGAAAAATCTGCGACAGCAGAGTGTGAAGTCAGATTGAACCGAAATATTACAAAGCAGCATCTTGAAGTCTAAATAAGTTCATTCTCACTCCTGAAAAACACTGAAAAATTCAGGCACATTCACACTGTGAGGAAAAGCTGCGCACTCTGCCAGTCAGTCTGTCACATCACTGTGCCATCACTCTCTGTCGCGCACACACACACACACACACACACACACACACACAATAGAAAAAAGTCATAAAGGAGCATACAGTTAAAATAAGAAAGAACTGTTGAGTGCCTGCATGTACACACATACCCACATTGTGTAGTTTGTTGAGTGTCTATAAATAATAACACTGCTGATATTGCACCTATTTAATTAGAGTTGCTGAGAAGTGCAAACAAGTTCAAGTGGACATGTCAAGGCATGTTCAAGATTACTTGCCAGAAATTGATTTTTTCTTTGAAACATCCTGTGAGAGTGATATGCAGAGAGAGATGCACACATGATGCACACAAGATCAACTGAATCCAGTGATGCTAGAGTTACAGTATGTACCTACAGATCTTTGCCCACGATTCCAAGTGCAAAATTACCCTTTAAACGCTGTCTTTGTCGAGAGCACCACAGTTTGCGGTGTTAAAATCAGCTCTGGGGACCTTTGCCTCAAGATGAAGATAACGCTTCTAACCTTCTGAGTTAATCAGAGTAAACAGCAGCTGGTACCCAGAAGGGTACTTGAAAGTACAAATTCTGCATCTTTAATATTCACTGTAGCTCAGGCAGAAATTCACATGTTCACAATTTTTCAGTGCTCGAGTTAGTAAAATTCAATCCCTCACATCCAGCAACTTCACATTTGCATTATTTATATGCAAATAAATATTAGCATGTCTCATACAGGGCAAAGAAATACTGCTTCACATTCAAAACAGTCACTTTTTGCCAGTTGTCTGTTTGTTTAGATGAAAATCTGCAAAGACATGGGATTTATTATAATTTTTTATCAAATGTAATATTAGATTTAAGCATAAAATATACCACCCAGGAATAAATAAGTCCTTTAATTTACAGTGTGTGTGCAGTTTCCTTTGGCTGTGTAGTTATCATCTTGTGTTGAGCAGTAAATTGATTCAATCTTGCAGGACTTCACATCTGTGAATATTTACACACTGAGGACCCAGTATGGAAAAAGTCCTGATCTCTCAACTTTAAAAACAAAAGAATATAAACCAACATTTGACACTGAAAAATTATCTCAACAGCAAAATTAAAGATTAAATCATGATGCCACCCTGTTACACGGACCTAGAAACCGGCCAGCGACCTCTCATACCCATCAGTTACCAGGGAAAAATGTATATTCGCCAACTGGTTGGTGAATATCCATTGCTGGGGTTTGATGACAGTACCTTCATGCACACTACCTATGCATAAAGGCCAGTCCATGGCCCCCTCCAAACCAGAGAAAAACTAGAGAAAAATGCTCAGAATGAGATACGCAAACCTAAACCAAAACCTTCCTTGTGATTGTTTTGGAGTCTGGAAGGTTCCCATGATTACCTGCAATGTTTCTGTGGATGGACGATCTCAACTTGTCTGCAAATGCTCATGAACTACTCAGTTAGCAGCAGTAAAACTCTGAAAAGTGTAACGCAACTTTCACTTTGAAGATAAAGCCAAAATCGGTTTCCAATTTGGACCACACTTTTTCAAGTTGCCCTACCAGCACCTTCCAATAACAAGTAGGTTTTCTGATCGCATACTGCTCTGTCGCTGGTGGTTTGTTGTGTCGAGACAAACGCCGGTCTCTGCGATTCTTTTGGTCCTGGTAGAGATCACTCTGAGATGTTTCCATGTTTTACACAATCCTTTTATTACCCATTATTCTTACAGATGCATCTGGAGATCAGCACACTGCATTCCTATGCAGTCCTATGCTAAAGGCTGATCTAAAGAACTCCACACAACAGTTACAGTTATAACCTCTGGTCTCCTCCCCCCTACAGTAAACACCCCCACAATGGAAATACACTAGTACAGTGGCCAAGGGTGCTGACACCCTGACCCCCATCTCCTTTTAAGGTAGTGTCCGTTTGCCCTTTGTCTGCCCCTCACCCTCAGTTCTTTGTTTCATGCCGTGGGGGTGGGGGTTGATTGTCCTTGCACCTCAGTTCTTTGTTCCCATCCCAGGCCTATTTTCTATTTTGTATTCTTACACTCATTAACCGCAATATTATAATGTTGCAAGCAATCACAAACTATATTCTCTTTAACTCTGATCTATATCAAGGAATCTATTCTCAACAGTTGCTAGCCTAGATTCCAGCCTCCAGTTGCCTAGGTAACTCTAATGTATGTTAGGGTATATCACTTAACAGTGTCCTGCGTTTTATTCGTAGTTGCTCTAATCACTTGCCTTAAAGCTGAGAAAGGTTTAACTCAGGACCCGCAGAGTAAGAAAGCAAAAGTTAACATAAACACCAAAATCTCTGGGGTTGAGATTAATTATTAAACACTTTAAGATAACCAGTTGATGTAGAAATCTTTAAATTCCAGAATAATATCCTTATAATGGCATCTATAAACACAACAGTTTGAAGACAATAACATCAAAGTATTTTATATTGAATCATACAATTAAGCCTAAAAGCATAGCTTCCTCTTGTTCTAATTTTGAGTCACACACAAAACAGTTTGATCATAAATAAAATAAATAACTGCTTTGAAAAATAATCAAAGTAACACTTAGAAGTGGAACGAGTTTGGTATGTAAATATATGACAGATTTTGTATTAAGCAAAGTGGAAGAGAGCAAAAGGAGGATGTTCACAGGAAAAGTGACATCACAGAGGAGAGGAGCAAGAAAATAATTATCACAGATGTGACCTGTTTTCTTCAGCTTAAATGAGCATTAGGAGGAAAAAGGAAAAGAAAAGAAGACAGTCTGAGAAAATGGACTGCTGTGATGGCCCATTTATGAAACTAAAACCTTGGCACGCTCTACTGTTTTACTTCATTTCGGCTCTTCTGTTAAGTAGGTTTGAGAAGATTTGCAACATAAACTTGATCTCTGGATGGAAAATTGTCCAACAACAACAACAACAACTGTGGGAGAAACTGGGAGACAAACTCAGAGAAAGAGGAGAGAAAAAGAAACTTACTTTAGCCAGCAGTGGTGAAGCCAGACGCTCTGTGACCGATTTAAAAGCCGCTGTGTGCTGCTGTTTGTAGCTCTCCTCTGTCTTCTTTTCCTTCTATATGCAAAACATATGACAATGACATTAATGTGCCCATACACGTGACAATATGAACATGCAACGTATACGCAAGACTCTAATCAAGTTTAAACATTTTAGGAGATTTTTTTAAATCAAAAAATATTGACGAACATATTGACGAATCTGGGATTAATCTCTAAATGATGTGATGAATAACACTGTGAAAACTTCATGACTTACTACTAATCTATCCTACCTCATACTGTGCTGGACTCGGGGTCTCGACAGATTCCTTTTTGTAGAAAAGGGAGCTGCGTTGAGAAGAAGAGCCAAAGCCTCCCGTCTTGGTTTGAGAAAAAAACGCCTTTTTAAAACTTTCCTGGGCTAAGCCATGCTCAAAGACATTGTAGGAACCTGGACCTGGACAGACAGAGGTGTTCACTGTGCATTTCTACACACCTGACCTTAAATAAAACAGTCCAGGACTACATCGTAATTGGTTGTTGTTCTACTTTCCCTCAAAACCAGCACTTGTTAGTTTTATCTGAAACCACTACGATGATGCAAATCTTGCAATTAAGGCACAGCTATTAGACACATGTTGCAGAGGTGTAACTTTGGCTTAGTTGCACATTTGGCAGGGTGTGTAGCATTCATGTCGTGCTGACTGGGAAGTGACATCTGTGCTACACCTGTGGTACAATAACTTTCATACGGAGGCATTTTACTGCTTTTCTAACATCTGTCTCCTCTGCAATATGTTGTGTTTACAGATGTACTTCAAAAAAAAACTCAAGAATGAACAAATGGTCCTTTGCACTTTAACCTAAGAAAATACATATTTGTTATGCAGAATTTGTTAACAGACTCACACAACAAAATGCAGCAATATTCAAATATTCAAGGTAACACAAGTGAAAAACATTAGCATTTTCTTCTCAAGCTAAAATAAAACTAAGACTTTACCAAAAACTTAAAAAAGCAATAAAATATAAATAAACTATCCGTATAAAGTGAATCATCAGAACCATAAAAAATTAAGCCAGCTTCTTAAAATCAATCATGTGATGCATCACATCTGTCAGTTCTGCTCCACAGACTGCAGAGAGATGTTTGGAAAAGAAAATACAGAAATAGATTTAATGTTGGTGTGCTCGTAAAGTCTAAGGGTTGTTTTTACATAAATGACTGCTGTTCAAAGTAATATAGGTAGCAATGCCGAAATAGACGAGGCACTAGTTTTATTATTCCTTGTGTTATATTTCAAAGGCTTAATGCAAGCAGACATCAGAAATTAATCATACCTCTATAAATAAGGGTTCACTCATGGGACAACACAGCGTGCTTTCTTTCTCTCACACACACACACACAGACACACAAGTCACGTCACTTTCATTTCTTTTCAAAATGTTAACACAAGCTGCAAAGTAGTACTTATTCTTAATTATTACTTGTTAAATTGAGTATAATGGCCATGTCAGGTTAAACTCTGATCTTTCAGAGAACATGGCTTGTTTAAAAAAGCATCAAAGGCTAATAAATACTGTCCTCTAACATTAAAAGGCAGCAATCAAGTGCAAGTCATGTTTGACATGGTATGAATATTAACTGAAAAGCCTCAGTTATTAACTAAGAGAAAGATCTATGTTTCACAATCTGTGCAAAGCAAAAAACCCACAGTTTGGAGCAACAATTGATTACTAGATATCTGCTAAACTACATTCTACCGGTCAGAGGAAAATCACTGCCTGTGCATTCAAGTACACACAGACATAGGCACACACAACAAAAACACATACTGACCTGGTGTGGTGCCTTTTCTGCGGTTAGAAGAAAAGCGAGATGCAGTGACACCAAATGGACTTTTCTTTATTCCTGAGGTCCTCTTCAGCAGCTCCAGGGCACAGCGCGGGTCATTATATGTACCAACAGGGGGCGACACTTCTTTCACAGGGCCAAACCTCTAATGGAAAGAGAATAAAGAGAATGACACAGATGAACGAGTGAAGGAAGAAACACAAAGTGAGGCGTCTTAAGTCAAGTATCCAGCACACACTGAAATTTCACAATTCAATGTTTAACAGCCCTCTTCTATCGATCAACAAGAGACCAACACAGGTTCATCTCCTCGGTGTCCATCTGGAACACAGTAACAAATCCAGCTGCAAATATCTACAGACTCCGCTTCAATCAGTCAAAGCTTTACTTTACCAGAGTCAGCTGGGCCCTCATCTCTGTCCAGGTCATTTGAGATGAAAAGCAGTGGAGGAGGAAGTTCCCATGGTGATATGGGTTTGTTTTTATATCAACAGTCTTTGTTCCTAATAAAGATGTTTTTTGGCAGAAGTATGAGCAAACATACACAGCTGAAAAAAATTAAGAGAGTTGGGGAAATCGTGTAATGATTGAACTGGGGTTAACATACAGTAGATATTTTGTTTTTTGGGGCACAGCAGGGCTTTGAGATGCTAATCTGCAAGCACTAGTTTGATTGGTTTAAACGACTACTGTATCACATTCGATAAATCTAAGTCATCGGCGTCATTAAGTTTTTCCCCTTAAAACCTAAATAAACTGAACAATACATTTTTAAAAAATTCCACATGTAGCAAATACTGTAAGATACAAATTAAAACTCATATATACAAATTAATATTTAATTATTATTTTTTAATTTGTCAGAAGATTCAATAAACACTTCATTTAAAAAATAAATTTCTGGCAATTATTTAATAGTTCAGGCTTTAAAGGGTTAACATAAAAAACACAGGTGGGGCAGATGACATATCAATAGCATAAGCAGAGTAATTGAAAGTAAAGTTATTGCATTTCATCATGAGAAGGACACAAATTTCATGACAATTCATTCAAATACTCATTGAGATATTTCAATCAGGAACAAAGTCAGACAACAACACAAATTACTATCCATAAAGCCATAGTTCTTTTCTGCCTTTTTGCTGCAAATCTCAAATCCCAATTACATGTGGAAAAGCTCTTCTGACAAAAGTAAAAAAAAAAAACACTAAAGGCAAAACAGAAAGAGCAAGAGTGATAATGAAATCAATGACACAAAAAATGAGAGCAGAATGCATACAGAGAGAACTAAGTGGCAGGATAGAAAATGAGATGGAGAAACAGCATCTTCAATGCAAAGATAATGATTCACACAATCAGGTATGTAATGTTCTTTGAACATTTTGCTGATGGCAGCCTCACTTCCTGGGTGTTTCTCTAATAGTCTATTATAACAACACAGGAAACCAAAGAACCAAAACAGATAAGTTGCCTTTTTAGTCAAGATTACTGAAGGTGAACTATGCTTCAGTTTAACTCACAACGGAACCATTCAGCAGAGGAATACAAATCACTTGATACCTTCAAATGGCAGCGAGGCTATATTAACAATGCCTACCCCCACACAAACCACAGCCAATTCCTCAAATGACTGATGTTCAACTACAGAATGGTCTTAAATATAATGTATTTGGAGGCATGCCAATTATTGATTTACAGTTTGCATTTAAACAAGATGCAGCCTATGGAAAATTAGTTGTGGGGTAATGAAAATTGTGTTAGTAATGCACAGCTGAATTATTGAGCTTTAAGGTAAAAAAAACGCGTGAAGGGAAAATAAAGGAAGAAAATATGTTTAGATGGAGGAAAAAAACTGAGCGAAAGTAGAAAATGACACAGTGGGGAAGTTTTTTGGGTTTGAGATTGAAAAGAGAAGAACAAGAATGACAAGAAGAGCTGTCCCAGGGCCAAACCACACTATTTTTTCAAACGCAGTTATAAAGCGGGGGTTTGTGACCATCTGTCAATCTGATTCTGGCTTACTGGCTCTGAGTAAAGTCCTGTTAACAGGCACATTTTCCCTCTTTAACTGACATGCTGAGCTTTGTTACCACTTCACATGGATGCTGGATTTGTTTTCTGCTTCCTGTTGTTCCATTTTTAAGCACATATGATGAAAAATGCCAGAGCAACTCTTTTGAAATTCAAACTCAAAGCCAAAATGTTCATTGGCACTGTTGAGTATTTCAGTGTCAGAATGTTATAACGACTGTTAAAGTGAAAAATGAAGATACGGAGAGAAGTGAGACTATAGCCCAAGTACAAGAGCTCTCACTGGTGCCATTTGGCAACAAACAGCTATAAGTTACACTGTTAATGTCAGTTTATACTAAGCAGGAAGAAGGTGGACTACAAAAAGTGAATCCTATGGTGGCACAAAAAGGCCAAGATGTATAACCTTAGCCAAAACGTCTACTCCTACACAGGGTGGGTGACGTGAGTGTTTTTTACATGGTGTGTTAGTCCACTGAGCATTCAATGTCAGTTCTTAAGAATGTAACGTGTATGTGGGTTTGTGCAGGTCGGAAGAAAAAGGACAAAAAACTAGGAGAACAACTAAAATTTTTGATAAATTTTGAGATTATTTTGAGTCTGAGCTTTTTCACAAATTCAGAATAGAAACACTCAGCACACATGCTGCCAGTGTGTAAATTGCTAACAGGCTAGAGCTTGACTCAGCACTTTGCGGTAAAGTCTGAAAGCAAAGTTTGACCTAGTGATTTTTATTTATATTTTTTTCAATAATATTCTTTTGGCAAACTCATGTACAGTTGTGGTGCTAAGTTTACATATACTCATCATAGGCATGAATGTCATAGTAATCACTGGCTTTTAATGAGTTCTTTGAACAGAAATAATTGTATAGCATTAATGACATTCTTTCTTGACTTTAACCTCCTAGGACCTGGCGTCCACATATGTGGACATTACATTTTGGGTTATTTAGACCAAAATACTCAATTTTAATCTACAAGGGCCTGATATCCACTTATGAGGACATCATACTGCTACTGTTGTATCGAAATTTTAAATGAATGTCCTTATATGTGGCTCTCATTTTTCTTAGAAACAAAAATTAGGTTAAAAAAATATCTGGTAATTCTTTGTTTTTACATTCATCAGGTCCCAATCAGCCCAAAAACAGAAATTAAAAATGCATGCCGTGGAAAAGTTCGGGTCTTAGGAACTTAAACAACAAGAATTGGATGCACAAGTGATGCTGTATTTTACCTTGACAAGCCCAAGGCTTATTAACTTCTCTTTGTGAGCATGATTGATTACAAATGGTAGTTTGTCTTTGACAGCATAAAAAGGATTTGTTCTACAGCACTCTTGGACTGACTTATACTCAGTGCAATGGAAAAGTTCATGGAAATCAGTGAAGATCTAAGAAGCAGAACTGTAGATTTAACTGCGATCATTAGTCCTAACAACTGTATGTAAGTAGAAGTTGTTCGAATGTGTCACCATTTGTAGTGGTGACACACCTTGGGTCTGGAAGAAGACCCAAGGTGTGTCACCCACAGACAAAAAGAAATTGGTGCAGATTTCAGAAACCAATAAGGCCCAAGTTGGTCATTAACTGGTCATTAACAGTGTCACTGTTCACAGTGAAGTGAGTTTTTGATTGCCGTGGACCAAGATGGTGCCAACCAAGAAAGAAAGAAAAATCAAAACCTTAGCTGAAAGTTGCAGCTGCACACGTGGACGAGCCAAATGGAGAAAGGTTTTATCGTCAAACGAGACAGATTGAGCTATTTGGCCTTACTGACAAGAGTAATGTTTGATGGGGTAAAGGTAAGTCTTTCAGTCCTAAGAATACTGTACCAAGAAGAGAGGTCAAATATCCAGCCAGAGTAAGATAAATAAAGATACACAGGAAAAACAACAGTTCAAAGAAATCATTAAAAGGCAGAAATTAGCATGATATACATGCCCATGATGAGTGTATGTAAATTTCTGACCACAACTTTAAATACTATCAGTGCGCTGCACATTAAACTCAAGGTTTTGTTTCTAGGCCACGCGATGTCTTCTTAAACACTCTATACTGACGCATATATGAAATTCATTTTTTATGTTCTCGAGTTGTCTCTGCACAGCATCAGCTGCAGAAACATTTCTAAGCTCCTTTTAGGATTTTGTGAGAGCTTCACAGCTCTATGCTTATTCAAGCATTATCATCTATAAATAAAAAATAAAAAAATCACGCAATCCACAGACCGTGATTTTTATTAAAATGTGTGGATTATATGAGGAGCGATCAAAAAGTTTTGTGGCTCAACCAATAAAAGGCACCTGATTTAAATTTAGCTGTTGTACCCTTCAAGGTTGTCACTTACACATCTGAATTCACATGAATTCATGGAGCAAAACCTCATAAATGTCGAAAAATGACAGGCAATCTCCTGACTGCATTCCTGATCTCATGAGACACTTTAGGGCTTAAAGATTGTGAACTCCTTCGCTGAAGACTGCTGTTTGCTGTCTGTGTCATAACCACTGATTATACTTATCATAAACGTTGGATCACGGGAAGTTGTCCAGAGATATGTATGCAGAGACGACCTTGAAGAGGTAGATGAATTTAATTTACATATTTTCTTCATCTACCTTTTGGTTTATTGTGTACAGAGTCCCAAAACTTTTCATTTTCACATCTTAGTGATTATTTACCATCAAATTCAAAAAATGAGGTTGTATTTTTTTTTTTAATGGGGGTATGAATGGGGAGAAGTAGAAAAAAACAACCAAACAAAAACATGGGAACAAATACAGAAACGCATTAGGTATAGCACACAGAAAGGTCTTACAAGCGATCAGACAACGAGTAAATAAATAAAGGGACTGGACGACTGGAAGAGTGAGACCAAATAAAATCCATGTTTTCACAATGTGTCAGATTGATGCTTTGATACTGGAAAATTGGGAAGTCAAAGGGAGGAGAGATGAGAACTGGAAGATTCCAACTGTTCCTCTTTTATCCTTGCCTCTCTTGCTTCTTTCACCCCTCCCTCCTTTCCTCGTTTCCTTTCCATCCCTCCACAGGATAACAGTGTCAGATGGAACCGGACTCACAGTGAGACGAAGATCTAAGAAAACTGTCGCTCTCAGTACTTCACTGAAGATGACTTGTGACACGTGCACGCACGCACACACACGCTTCTTGGTGGGTGTCAGTGACGACATCACAGGGTCGACGCACCAACACAGCATGTGGCCGAGGAAATTAGGTCATAGCAAACGGTGACACACACACACACCCATATATGCACACACATGCATAAAATACATCCAAGAATCTAGCATTGGCCGTTTTCACCAGTAAAACTTTTATGTTTTAGATCTAATAAAGGTAGTTTTTGGAATGTGTTTATGCGTGTGTGTATATCTGTACTGTGCTTGCATATCAGCAGCAACTTGAATCTGAATCTGTTTTCACCTAATATACACACAATCTGAATTCGTAATTATGTGTGAGAACATGCACTATCATGTGTGTCAGAGTGATAATGAAATCAGTCTGAGAATTTCACAGGACTAGATCTGTGGGCCAGTGCCACGGAGGAGGAGAAGACAGCTATTCCTGAAACGTGAAACTACACATTTTCACGTCCTTCATCTTCGCTCCTCTGAGCCTCTTAATAAACTCATCTTCACCCCTATCTCAAGAATCCCTCCAATCCCAGCACATCAATTAAACAAGCCAACAAGGGCTCAGTGTTGTGGATCTGTAACTGATCTGAAAGTATTTCATATTAAAAAGCAATCTCCTTTGAGATATTGTACAGTAAATTGAATATATTTGATTCCTGTAGATTATGTCAAAGCCATCATATATTTCAGCCTTATCATCAGACTCAGAGCTATGAGACCACTGGTTTGAGAAAAGAAGAAACACTTTAGGACTATACCTGGTGTAGTACTGTCTAGTGCTATATATAGCTTATAATGGGACTGACTACATGAAAAGAATTCAGATTAGGAGGGAGTTGTCTCAGGCAGTGGATGAACTGAGAGGTTGTAGTATGGCGCAGTATAAAATAGATAAAGATTTGGAGTCTAAGAATAAATTTATGGATTTGAAAAATGACCGTAACAGTTCCTCTTTGAAAATGATAAAATATAAAGGTGTGTCACCAACCCCTTTATTCATATTCTATCTTACAATCAATATCATGTCAACTAGACACTTGCTGCAGTTGCTAGGAGACAGCTAACTACTACATAAATACCTAAGTGTAGTACAGTAGCTACTGGGGGTTATAAATCGGATACAAACAGAGGTTTAATTAATATATGTTAACTGGATTTATTTTTACATAAAATTAAAAGTAGAGAAATTATAGAAGCATTCTTGCATTTAATCTAAATCTGTCAGATCGTGCAGACTAGAGGAGAGGACCCAAATGCAGTTGCATGGACACAGGGGCTAAGTGAAGGCAAGCCGTTTATTTAGGCTGATAGACAAAAAATAATACAAACGTGAGAAAACCAAACAAATTACTAAAGTAGAAAGCTAAACTCGGAAATTAAACACTAGAAACCTTGAACACTTGGAACATAGAAACACATGGGAGGTAAACAGATGCTCTGACAAAGGACCAAGGAAAACAGAGACAATATACACAATGTGGGATGATCAGAGAAGTGGAAATACATGGGAACACAGCAGGAAGAAATTTGCACATAATGAGACAATGGAAGCAAAACTAAAAACCATACACATCAGATGAGTGACTGACCAAATAAAACAGGAAGTAGCATGCACAGCAAGACTCAGACAAGGACACGCAAGCTTGACACTAGGACAGGGATAAACAAACACGAGAGAACAGAACAGGCAGGAAGACAAGGACGAAACACAAGAAGAACATGGGAACAGGTAAGGGAGACAAAACCCCAAGACATAACTGGGATAAGAGAGCGAGAGAGAGCAGGAGACACAGAGCATGAAAACAAACAAACATGGAACCATGGCAGACCTAACATGGAAGATGCTAAGGGCAGAACATAAAGGTGAGTGTAAGAAGACAGGAGGAGAACACTAAAGAAATACTAAGACAAGACTGAGGGATTACAAAGTTATTGCAATACTGCCCAGTAAGATACAAATAAATGAACTGGCATTAAATCAATGCAACAGCAACACAAAAACCAATACATAAAACTGAAATATACCATATTATCCTGAAACCAACATGGGTTACCAGACCACAGACCTGTCTGGACTGTACCTCAGTTTTTGAGAGGAAGGTACAAGAGAATTTCGGCAGGCCGCCAGGCTCAACAGGTTTCTCAAACTGACTTCTGATGTGATACTGGCCTGGACCAGGAACTCCCTGTTGGGAAACAGAAAGTGAAATTTACAGTACATCAAAGGTGAAATTTATCGGGATGCATTTAAGTGATTTGCTAATATCACCTTTCGTGTAGATGTGTCAATAAGAAAAAAAAGGAGAAAAGCTGAGGAAGTGAAAGAAACAGAGGATGCAAGGACAGAGTTTCTGAGATTTCTCTTTCCTGTATCTCTTATGAATGATGAGCACTCACTGGCAAGAAGATGAGGCTGAAATATTAAGAAGATCGAACAGAAAAAGAGCAGAGAAAAACATGCAGCTAATGATGAGTAACCTGTGAATACATACAGGAAAAAGCCCTTTCTTTCTCTGCTCTCCAATTAAGTCATTTATGTAAAGAAACAGAGCAGAAAAAATAATCACCATTAAGTGTGCACAGTGTTTGTGCTTTTGTGTGACCGAGCTGTAATGGTCATGTCATATGCCAACTTAAGAAGACTACGTAATTTTGAGGCAGCAATCATTGCATCTGGCAAAGCAGCAAACAGCACTCACAGAGAGGCTGACAGTGAGAGGCTAAGAAAACCTGGACACTTTCTTACAATCACACCTACGCACATTTCCACGCTGCCTGATACAGAGCTGGGCATTTTTCTGTCTGTTGGAAAACAACAAGGTTTCTCTGCTGCAGGTGGTTTAACTAGTTCTGCAGTAAAACATCACAGAATTCTTTGGCCATTGTTAGCACTGTGAGAGGGAAGCTCAGTGAACCTTTGGACCTTCCCCATGCCATAGGACAGCTCAGAGTCTATTAATGAACATTGACTATATTGCCCTCTTATTTCCTTCCCTCGTAATCAAATTTGCCACAGTGTGCTTCACGTACAGTAAGACTGCCACCATTTTCTTAGGAAACCTGTTTTACTGATTTGCAGCACATACCTATAACGTTTTTTCCACATTTAATAATGATAAGAAGATATGTGCATGTTTTGTCATTCATAAGAATTTGGTTTGCAAAGACTTTCTGAAGAGATTTACAATGCTTTTATTTCATCATTGCATATGCAAATACATTTGCATATGTGCTCAAAAAGAGTCTACAAAGCTGGCTGGTTAAAAACAAATCCAGTAAAATACATGTGTAACTTGAGAGAAAGGAACTCTGTGTAAAGGTTTCTTCATGCAAGTTATTGCCAAGTGTTCAAGAAAAACTGTATTCTACCTGAGCACTCAAAGCACTTTATATAACAGACCTCATTCTCCCATTCATACAAGCACTTTTTCCCCCCTAAGCTTAAATGCTTTCTGTCTAACTTTCACACTCCGATGGATGCATCAGAGAGCAACTCAAGGGTTGCCCAAAGATATCTGCCATGCTGTCTGGAGTAGCCAGGGATAAAACCATCAACCTTCCGATTAGTAGATGACCTGCTCTACAGCCACGCCAACTTTTTACAACTTCTCTATTATTTTAGGGTCTTTGCCTTACAGTATAAAGTACTTTGAGGAGACCGTGGTTGTGATTTGGTCGTATTTACATAAAATTGAATTAAACAGAACTTTAAGCTTTTGTGTAGTGTCTTTGTTGATACAGTTTTAAATCAAACCTTATATAGACATTCTTAATTTTTTATACAAGGATAACAATGCCTTTCTGTCCCAACACACATATTATAATTAAAACACATTTAAATGAACATATTGCATGCCCAATAGGCTCAATTTACAGTTTTAGAGGTAGGTAATCCTGTAAGTTAAACTTCCTGCCAAGAATTCTTCCTTCTTTCCCCCTGGGAGCTGTGCTGCTTCCCTGTTTCTAAATATATCACATGCTGCAAACGTAATATCACCACCCGTGATAACATTAACATGATATTCACAGCATTTTAAAGGTGAACTGACAGTGTAATTTGTATATCCAGGGTTATATCAGACACTGCATGGGTACAACTTTATCTGTTTTTCTTGTGTTTGCAGGGATGCACACTGTAATGGTATCTTAAAGTGGTTTGCTCAGATATTGCCCTAGCTATGTCAGAATGTCTATTTAATGGGTAAATCTTGCACACAGACTCTTAAAGTCTGTAGGACACCAGCAGCCCCGAGCCATTAGAGGCAGACTGTCTGCTGATCTCCAGGAAGTAAAGGTGTTTGTCCTGAGTGTCCCCACTGTGGGAAATGACCCATCTGGTCAGTGTATGTATGTGTGGGAGTACATATGGGTTGACATGTGAGATACTAATGATGACGGATGGAGGTGCAACCAACATGGTTGGGGGTCCAAATACAGCATATAGAACACACAAAAAATACACAGACAGTAAAGTCAGTGAGAAATTTTAGGTAAATTGAAGGTACGTGTTTAAACAAACTGTTTAACGGTTAAATATAGACAAAGAAAAGTGAAGAGAAGTAAAACAGCAATAAGAGGCTGTGAGAGACCAAAGGAAAACAAGTAATGGGAAAAGCATAAATGACGACAAAAAAAACCTAAACGGTGCATTTACCTTTTTTCATGAAATCCAGCCTTCACCTCGCCCTCTCTAACCCACCGATCGGTAAAATAAGGCATCACAGAGCATTACTCTGCCAGCACAGTCAAGTTCATATGCAGGTGAATAACTACCCTCTACTCATCCACTTCCAATATATTAGTCTGTAGTAAAAGCTTATGTTTTACTGCCCCCTATGAGATGAACTAGTGAACTGTCTTTCAGCTTAGAAAAATCCATTAGGAATCCAACATATTTACCCGGTTCTCCATGTAAAAATCACACGTTATTTACCTATTAATCAAAGGCCTGTTGTTGAAAGGTACTACCATATACATTGTATTTTAGTGTAATTAAATAATAACATGACATGCTCAAACAGAAGGTTAGAGGACTCATTAGGCGGGGTCAGAGGCAGTGTTCATTTTTCAATCATAATGTGATTATGATGGCTTTACCTTAAATGGTACTTACAAAAGGACCATAACACAGAGATCATTTTTATAATTAAGTGTGATTAGATTTATTTGTGGTCAGCATGCAGCATTCTCAGGGAGAGAAAAAAAACACACAGTGTGACAGTGCTGTTAGTAAGTTTCCTGCCTCAGCTTGTAGCACAGCTCACTTTGTGTGCTCAAGCTTGTTTTTCCTCAGTCTGTTTAGTTCCAAGGTTGGTTAGTGCCTTAAAAATAGCAGGTTCTGCTGTCTTGTTATTTTGTCTGATTTTAGAATAAGACTACTGAAACAAATATGAGAAAATATTGTAAAATATATAAGTAACACAAATAAAATTAAGCCAGTGACTTCAATGTCTATTAATGAGCATAACTGAGCAAGATTATTTAATAATTGAATGGACACATTCAAGTCTTTGTTTTATAAAAAGCATAATTCAACATTATTCTTGTGCTGTATTGTACTATGTTGGCTATTAATTCATACAGTAATAGCTCAAATAACTACAGTGCTGTGAAAAACCTACCACGCCCCATATGAAAAACTAACTGCAAATGGAGAAAACTTTAAACCAAGGAGAAAACCACTGCTGACCAAAAACAACACAAAGCTTCGTCTCACATTTGCCAAAAAACATCTTGATGATTGCAGAGACTATTGGGAAAATATTCTGTGGACTGATGAGACAAAAGCCAAACTCTCTGGAAGGTCTGAGTCCTGTTAAATCTGGTGTAAAACTAATGCAACATTTCACAAAAAGAACATCGTACCAACAGACAAACATGATGGTGGTTGCATCATGGTCTAGGACTGCTTTGCTGCTTCAGGACGACTTGCCATAGTTGATGGAGCCGTTCTGCTCTCTACAAGAAAATCCTGAAATCGAATGTCCGGTCATCAGTTTCTACCTTGAAGCTCAAGAGCACTTGAGATATGCAGCTGGACAATAAACCAAAAAAAAAAAAAGTCTGGACTTAAATTCAAATTGGGATGCTTTGGCATGACCTTAAACATGCCCTCCAAAAGTGATGAGAAATAAATCACTGTCAGTTACTGCAAATGCTTGACCTCTGTCAGTGCGCCCCAGGGTGGCTGTGGCTACAATGTAGCTTGCCATCACCAGTGTGTGAATGTGTGTGTGAATGGGTGGATGACTGGATATGTAAAGCGCTTTGGAGTCCTTAGGGACTAGTAAAGTGCTATATAAATACAGGCCATTTACCATTTACCATTTGACTGCAGTTCTTGCTAGCAAAGGTGGCACAACCAGTTATTAGGTTTAGGGGCAATTACTTTTTCACACAGGGCCAGGTAACATGTAAGTGGAACTGGATATGGAAGGGGAGAAATACTTGTTTATGATACTGCATAAGTTAGTTGTTGTCAGCATGTGAGCATTTGTGTGTTAGTGTTTTGCCCACTGTTTTCACAAGCCACAGCTTTATTTTTCAGGTTTACTTTGATCAGTCATTTTGTGGCAGCAACAAGAAACTTGTCTTAGCCAAAATGATCCTATAACTAACTGACAGATACATGTCCAAAAACTAAAAGACTGAGGGACCAGTTCGTGAGCATAGTGGAGTAGTCATCAGCTAAAGAGTCAGTTTAGCTGATGTCTTTACAAAAAAACTGTAAAGACCAAAAACAAAGATGAAAGGAGAGTGAATATCGCACTGACGTTACTTCAGTAAATAGAGACGTGGCTCAGTAAACGTTGTTCTGTGTCTGCTTGATGTCTGCTACTGCGTTCACCACTAGGCTAACAGCGTGATAGCACTGGAAGGTGCTGGATTTTGCTGACATTTTAATTATCACTTGTGACCAGAATGGCCACTCTTTAGGATAATCATTTGGGTTACTTAGAATGTGAATCTCCTGTCACTTAAAGTTGGCTCCAAAATCAAGTCAATCCCCAGATGCTCAGTTTAAAACTTTACTTGCTTGATGCAAAAAACTGTTTTGGATTCTATGGCTAATTCTCCTCCTTATTCCCACTTTCTTTTTTAATAACAAACTGGTTTAAACTGAACTAAGAAATAAAAATAATCAAGATCATGTGCATCAGCACTGTGTGACATATGGGTGCCAACCAGAGGGAGTTGTGTGTTTGCTAGGTGTCACCTCAGCTGATTCCAGTCATTGAACTAGACCTCTTGACTGTGTTGGCAGTGTTTGTGAGCATTTTTATGCATTTATTGGAAAAATTATATGGCTTGTATTTACTGTAGTGATCAATGCCACCTTAGCTGCATCAGCCTTTTCCATACAGTTTGTGAGCTCAGAGTTTAACCTTGATTCATGCCCTCTAAACCTTTTTTTTATCATTGATTTAAACCTGTATATATAGAATCAAAGGGATACAAAGTCATGCCAACCCACCTTCTTTTCTGCCTGCATGGGCACAAGTTCATGGTAGCGAGGGATGGCAAGCTCCACTCTGCCTCTCTGATCCTTTTGAAGGTTCACATTCTCGTACTGTGTTTCTGGGACCCTACAGGAAAAAGAGGCAATGACAATGTCTTTCAAAATAGAAAACATAGGCAAACAAGTATAATATATACAAATAGTGAGGGGGAGGTGTTCAAAAGCATACAAAATAGAACAGAAAAAATGAGAATTGGGGAAAAAATATACTGACTGAGTGGCAAAGACAAATGTGGAGTGGAAAAATAAATAGAAAGAGAACAGCAAAGCAAAGAAAGTGGGAAGCAGGGGAGAAGAGTGGAAAGTTATAATCCATAGTAATGGAGCTCATAAGGATGAAATGTATGTAATAACTGTAACAGGAGCAAAGACTGAATATACTGTTATTTTGAAACATTTCCAGTAGTCACATGTGTGCCACAGACATGGCTGTGTGGATGTTTTAATGTCTACCTGCACCAGTAAACCACCTTCCTTTTTATTACTTCTGCTGCCAAGGGACAATGATGCTCGAATGGTTTGGGTTCTGTTTGATCAGAAGGTCAGAGTTTCAGCCCCAGCCACCACTAAAATTAACCAGCTGAACCCTTTAGCAAGGCTGCTAACCCTTTCTGATAAAGATGTACCATATCATCGCTGACACCAGCTGTCTAACAACGGTGATGCACAGTCAAAAGAATTACACTGTGCTGCAAAGGAAACGTGACAAATAAGGGCTTCTTCTTCTTCTTTTTCTTCTAAGTCAATTCCTTTATGAATAGCTGAGCTGAGTGTGTGCCCACCCGTGTAGAAGTGCTTAGTAAGCGCCATTCTCTGTGGCCATCAATAGAAATGGTATTTGAAAAATGTCAACTGTAATGCTCCAGCTATAGGATCAAAGTAATATTTCACTTTGGAAGAGTAGCCTCTCTATTCAGCACACATCTTGGTAAGAGTTCAAGAGCAGTGAACATCTGAGATCCCATGCAGGGTAGAGTCTTATCTAACCACCAGCTCCTTGCTTCAAGATGTGAATTTGTGAATTTAAAATATTTTCCAACCTACATTACCCTGAAAAGAAGACCAAATAATCTCCATAGCAGTTTTATTTTTAAGGCAATCTTTCTTTTTAAGTGTCTTTTCAAGTTACATGCCTGGATTGTTAATTAGCTGTTCATGGGACTGTTTCTGCTCTTCATCCTCTCGAGGATACTTGAGGGTGCATGGGAGTTTGCCCAACCAGTCTACATGTGTTTTGT